CAAAGGCGAAAACTATTTTGAAGTAAAAACCTAGCTCAAGAAACCTATTTTCTGTTCAAAATGATAATTCTTTGAAAAAGTTGTTTTTTAAGTTTCCTTATTTTACGAAATTTCAAAATACACTAAAATCTCCTATGAATTAATATTTTGTAAAATCAACACATTCAATAAGGTTTAAAATGATGGTAGTTATCAATGATGAACACATGCAGTTTAAAGCCTCTGTCGAAAGCATGAAAATCCTAATTTCCAAACCCTAAGTCATATCTATGTGCTTAGCAATTTAAAAATTAACTTTTTTTTTTATTCCCATGTGTGATTGCTAAAGTTCAGATGCAATATGTCTATTTCTCTAAACTCTAGTTGTGTTTTTTCCTTGTGTAAGGAAGAACACTGTCGATTCCACTAATTATCAATATCACTAATCTACTCAAGGTTTTAAACATTAGTGTGGCAATCACTTAATACTAAAAGATAATGGATGCAAACACAAGAAAACCTATCATTAAAGGTGCATTAAAACCTTAAGCACATATTATTTACAAGAATCATATCATAAGAGAATAAAAATCTAGCCTAACAAGATCTTTAATATGAACCACAATAAATACTTCATTTTAATCATAAAAATCAATGTTTACGAGTTAGAAAAAAATTTTAAGAAATAATAAAACCCGAATTTCTCAAAGATGAATCTCCTATAGTAGCCTTGTCCGAGTTCTTATTCTTCTTCTTCTTATATACTCTCTTGCTTCGTTAGGCTAGGATTCTTTGAATTCTCCTTACAATCCTTCATGCATCTACACACTCACTACTCACTCTCCATACTCTCTAGACTCCCTTAGACACACTCCAACACTCCCCTTAAATAAATCACACTCTCCCAACCATCCTTCCAACCAAGAATTCGAATTTCGGTATCAATAACTTTTTTTGTTGAGGTCGACACACCGCAACCCTATAGTTGGGCGCGCCTGGGCATTGGATAAGAACGCTATGGCTCTAGGTTTTTAGTGTTGTGACTCTATCCTCTCTATCTTTGATCTTTAATTCTAGCACATAGGCTCAGCTTTTCAGCACTAAAGTTTCGTGTTACGGTGCTGGATTCTGGAGCCTAGACTCTGGGCTATCTGCCTTCTAATCTTTAATTTTGGCGATTAGGCTTTCGATTTGTGCGTTGTGGCGTTGAAATCTGGCTCCTAGGCTCTACAATATGGCCCCTAGGCTCCGCTTCAATACTTTTACTCTTTCCTTTCCAACAATTTTCCATGTAACTTTCTAGCATAACATTAAACAAAACAATTGAATAACATAACACTTACACACAAATTCACAATTATTTTTATACACTTTTAACACTTAATAGTGGTTTGATTAACACACTATTATATTATGGTCAAAGCTATAGCTCGTGAGTTCCCTAATGACTTTTTGAACTTTGAGTTGTAAATTATAATATGTACCTAACAAGACACAAGCTCTCTGTAAGCTAAGATTATTGACTTAAAATAATTACCTTATACAAACATCCACCTCATGTGTATAAAGTACTCTTGGATGAAGCAACTCATGACTCCCGACAATTATACTTCTATCATATTTATTCGACTATCTTTTCTAAGTAAACAAAAGATCACGATAACCCGGGACAACGCAACCGTGGGATCCTGATTGGGTCGCCAACATCCGCTCTAAGCTCATAGTGTGATTCTACTATATGCTAGGTCCAAATACTTAAAGCCTAAATGACGAGTCTTGAAAAAAAATATTCTTTTATTATTAAGAGGGATAATTAACCATAAGGATTTGCGCCAATGGGCAACCTCAAACTCTAAGGATAGTGTTTTATCGATTGTTTCATTTATCTTTTGAAATTTTGAGCCAAAGCTCGTGTAAAACTCTCTAACTCATTCATTTTTATTTCATTTCAAGGGAAGCCGAGGCGTGAATCCTCAGAGCCCAAAAAAACATAACCAATGTCTCATATAATGCAAAATTTTATGTCAGAGATAAAAAAGCATCCACTAGAATTTTAGTTGTTTAACACATTTCATCTTATGGATTATCAGTTATCGGCCAGCCAAACATTTTTAAATGATGATTTTGCCAATTATTTATAAGAAATTTTTTTTAATTTGGTCATAACTTAGTCGCAACGAGCATTAGTTCTGGATTTTAAAATTAGTTGTAAGATAAAAAAATACAATGGAATATTATCGTAGAAAAAGATACAGACATCTAAAAGACATTTATTTTCTGAGTAAACTTCAAGATTCAAGATTTGGGATATTCATGAAGAAGCTAATTCTATGTGAGATAAAATAATAAACACTATTAAATAAGAGATAGAAAGATATACTTGAAGAATCAAAAGAAAAAAAAATTTATAAATATAAAAAATTGGTGGTGGAATAATAATGTGCAAGAAAAGATGAAATATAAAAAGTTATATTATAAAAATTAGTTTAAATGTAAAAGCTTAGAGAACTGAAAAAATATAAATTAGCCAGTAGAGTATCTAATAGAGCAATTTTTTACGCTAATAATTCTACTTTTAGTAATCTTTATAATAAATTGGATACTAAAGAGCATGAAAAATGTATGTATAAACTAGCCAAACAAATAGAAAAGCAAAGCAAGGATTTAATTCAAGTAATGTGCATTAGAGATGAAAATTAAAAAAGGAATTTCTTAGAGACAAATACAATATAGGTACGAGAGAAATTTTGATAGTTTTTTTTAATGAAGTCTCTAAAAATAAAATCGACTTTAGTGATTTTAATATTGTTAATAATAATTTTTTTTTTATTGTCACATTAGTAAAAAGAAAGTTGAAGAGCCTTTAAAGAAAACCAATAGTGGAAAATCAGTAAGACCCGATGATATCCCAATTGAAGTGTGAAAATATTTATAGATTTAAAAGTTTATTGGCTTGCTAAACTCTTTAATATTATTTTATAACTATAAAAGAAGCCTGAGGAGTGGATGAAGTGTATTTTGGTTCCCATTTTTAAGATTAAAAGAAATTCACAAGAGTATGCAAATTATAGAGGAATTAAGTTGATGTGTCATACTTTAAAATTATGGGAGAGAGTAATTGAACATAGGTTAAGACATGATACAAAAAATTTTCATAGTCAGTTTGGATTTATGCCAAGCAAGTCTACGACTATGGAAGCTATAAATTTATTAAGAGGTTTGATGGAGTAGTACAAAGAGAGAGGATCTACATATGATTTTTATTGATTTAGAAAAAGCTTACCAAAAGGTTCCAAGATAAGTTCATTGGAGAGTTCAAAAAAAAATGTGTTGAAATGACTTATATTCAAGTTATTAAAGATATGTATATTAGAGTTGTGTTCAAACAGAAGGAGGATTGACCAAGTATTTGTCTATTTCAGTGGGATTACATGAGCAAGCTGCTTTAAGGCTAATCTTTTTGATTTAGTTGTAAATGCTCTTACTGGACATTTACAAGAGGATGTACCAATGTGTATGATTTTCGCTGATGATATCTTTTTTGTGGGTAAGATTAGAGAAAGAATTCAGAAAAAAACTTGAATTATGAAGGTCTATATTGGAGTTTTAAAGCCTTATTTTGAGTAGATTTAAAACTGAATACATGAAATGTAATTTAAGTAGTAACAGCTCTAGTGTCAGAGTTGTAACCATGGGTGATCAAATCATTAAAAAGTGTGAACGTATTAGATATCTTGGATCTATTGTTCAAAGTGATGGTGATATAAGCGGGGATGTTATTAGTAGAATTCAAGTTGGATGGTTGGTGTGGAGAAATGCATCGGGCCTATTGTGTGATAGTAAAGTAGTGTATAGACTAAAAAGAAAGTTTTATAGGATAATGGTAAGACTTGCAAAGCTTTATGACATAGAATGTTGGTCATTAAAAGAGAAGCATAGAACTAAGTTAAGTGTTGTTGAAATGAGAATGCTTAGCGGATAATTAGTGGCTTGAAACTTAGAAACAAAATGCGAAATGAATTTATCTGTGAAAAGGTTGGTGTAGCTCCAGTGACAGAGAAAACTAGAGAGAGTCGTCTTAGAGGGTTTGGTCACATTAAACTTCAACCATCTGATGATCCGATTAGGAGATTAGATGTTTTAGATTTAACTTATGTTAAGAAAGACAAATGTAAACCTAAAACAACTTTGGGCACATTGTATAAAAAATGATCTTAATTTATTAAAATTAAATGAAAATATGACACTCAAGAGGGCATAACGGAGAAAAAGGATTCATGCAGCCGACCCCACTTAGTGGGATAAAGGCTTGTCGTTGTTTTTAGTTGCAACGAGCAAAATCTCCAAACTCCACACTACAGTTTAGAAATTTGCAAATTGAGGGTGGGCTAACCCTCAAGATGCACCTCTTGACTCAAACAGATTTAAAGTTACACCACTTTCAAATAATGGAACTTCAATCAAGCAAATGTAATTTTCTCTAAATTTCCTCACTCTAACAGCAAAGTAATTACTTCTTATGGTTACCCAGCTCAAAAATATTTAAGCGTCGCTCAAATTCCACTCTTTCTCTAAAAGTACTGATATCATATTATTCATCTAAACACAACTATAAAATTAAAAAAACATAATAACAACACAGCATGATCAAAATTGTGAAAACAGGTGTTAAAGCTTATAACCGCTAAAAATAAGATGACATGTACTATAAATAAAAAGAGCTGTACAAGCCAAATCATATTCTTCTATTTTTATGCATCAAATTCAGAACTTTCTTTCTCCAAAAGTACTGATATCATATTATTCATCTAAATACAATGATAAAATTAAAAAAAACATAATAACAACGCAGCCTGATTAAAATTGTGAAAACAGATGTTAAAACTTATAGCCACTAAAAAGAAGATAAGATGTATTATACATAAATAGAGCTGTGCAAGCCAAATCATACTCTGTTCGATTTTATCCATCACCTGGAGCACTCAATAAACGTGTAATAAATAAACTAAATTAAATCAAACCTTCCAGCTCCAGCAACAACTATCTTTTGTCTTGGAAAGTCTATCATCGTTCTTCCTTGTGCTCTAACAGCTCCTAAAAGACCAGCAATTGCAACAGTTCCCTGCCCAGGTTATGGTAAAGCTTCTGAAAGCTATAACTAAAATAAAAAAGATCTACTCTAGCAAAAGCATGAAAATATGACAAGTAGCTACAGCTGCAACATAAATATTGACATGTAAAAATAAAGTGTTCTTAAAACTTCTTTGTTTTTAACGCCACGCCCAAAATTTCTCAGTCAATGGACCGAAAAAGCAACCCAACTATCCTGATTCCTAACTTTTACATGAAAAACTTTAAGTTCAAGCGTAAAAAGAAATAATTTGCTTAATTCATGCTGCAAACTTTCAAACTCCTGCTGATGGGTATGTGGCCCAGCGATGTTGCACCTTACCTCCAAAAGCAAGGTCTATGTTGGACTATAAAAGAAAAAAAAAATCGCAACCCAGCAGAAAAGGGTCAAACCTAAAATGGTTCCCCAACTAATTGGATGTGATTAATTTAGTCCCAGAGTTTTGTATTGCTTCAATTTAGCCCCCTGATGTTTATAAATTTATCCCAAATGGACCTTCAGGGATTAAAATGAAATCAAATCTGTATGGTCGTTGGAACCTTTTTGTGTCATGATTTCTACACGATGGATGAATTGGGATCAATTTTTAAGAACCATAGGACTAAAATCGGACCACTTCAAAACTCTGGGACTAAGTTGGCCACAATCGAATTATCAGGGGAGAAATTTGGGATTTATTCCCAGCAGAAAATTGCTTAAACGCTTGAACATGTCAGCAGATGCATACTTCCCTGCATATTCCCTGCTTATCCTTCATGAAACCAGATAATAAGAAGAAAACAGCAAGCTTAAAGAAGTTTCAGTAAAGGATAGTGCAACATGAAAGTTGTTATGAACTGTCAATTGACAATTCAATGACCCTTAAATGAGAATATCATCAAGTTTACCTGGACATCATCATTGAACATTCTATATGTGTTTCGGTAGCGCTGCAATAATTTCAATGCCCACTTACTCTGGAAATCTTCAAACTGGGAAAAACAAGGTGAAATTTTGCCCTCAAATTAAAAAATTTAGAGTTTGAGATATGCCAAGTAAATGAAAGTTAGCAGTCGAACTTTACCTGTACTATGACAGTGGGCCAACGAGTAAAAACAGCCTCCATAAATTCATCAAGAACAGCTAGGTACTCTTCACCATCAAGACGACGTTGTTGGAGTCCCAAATCTGCTCAAGCATATGTTGAAGAAAATGAAACTGAGACGATATGACGTCAAAATCCGGACGTTTTTTCATAGAAAATAGGGCAAACATAATATTTCTTCAATAATCTAAACAGCTCAGCAAGAACACAGAAATAAACACCCATAATTCGAGAGGTAGGCGAGTTCCGACAATTTGAGAGGTAAAAAATATTTTAATGATGCTCTTCAGACAAAGGTGAACGTTAATAGTATAAAGTAAAATTACAGTTAGATAAAACCTAAAAGAGTATTATTAAAGTAAATGCATATAAAAGTTTTAAATTATTCTCATTGAGTAGTATCATGGATATGTACAATAGACGATTATAAGATATCATATAATGATATATAAAAGAACAACATGCATATTATTTTTTTTTTCCTGAATTACTGTAATTTAGAAGTGTTATTAGTCCTGATTTATCTTTAGATAACTCATGAGGTTGTTTTAACTTTTTTTTTAAGTTTTAAGCTTTTAAATAAGATAGATAAATAGAAGATGAACTAATGTGTACAGGAGCAAAGAAGAACAATCGGAAATGCAATTTTTTTAATTAGTCAATTTAATTGTTTTCTTTAGTGGCTCTTTCAATTAATTTTTAAATATTAACTGTTAGTGATAGAAATAGAAAAAATAGAGAATTTATTTTCACTGTCCGACTATGCGTTTCCGTCTTGGTTAATTTCAAACCCCGGGTTGGGTGTGACATAGTAGAGGTCTCTAATGACAGTATTTGACATAGACGGAAGTCTATGTTCCATGAAGATGATTTACTACTCAAATATATGAAGTACTACACCACAAATCTACTTGTTTAGCATGTTTCCATGAAAATTCTGTCCTATAGAGTTCATGCAGAAATTTCTAAGTTATAATGTACATGCATCCGCCATTTTACAACTCTTTGATTAACGAGAAAATTTAAGTATGTGAAAAGTTGCCAATAACAAAATTGAGAATTGGATAAATCCACATCAAGAAGTAAACTCTGTACACACATTGTATGATTTTGTCATTGATACCATAAAGTCTATTTATTTAGGGGTCGTTTGAGATTACTTACAATTGTTAATTTTAATTTTTTTATTTTAATTTTATTTTGTTAATATTTTTAGCTGAAATAAAATATATTTGATATGTTATAACATATTTAGTTGTTTTTAAAAACACTCAAAAAATAACTTTTACATATTTTAAGTACTTTTAAAATAAGTTATTTTAATTTTGAAAATAAAAATAAAAACATGCAAAATATGCACTAAATAAACATATTTTTAAAATGAAAGAAAAAAGAAAAATAAAAAAATAAAAAGCAAAAGTGATCCCAAACAAGCTTTTAGGGATTAGAGACACATTGATGCATCAAAATATCAAATTAGTACCAATAACATTATAAGCCTTTCAGAAAAGCATCCAAATATATTTCCTCTGTTTGATTTTCTTATCTTAAAGTACAACCACGTTAGCTTGCATATGCATTTCTCGTCTTCTTTTCACCAGCCATCTGTTAGCTATGAGAAATTAAACTTAGACAATGGATTTCTTATGTTACTTGTTACAGGTTCCAGTAAAGCCTAATAGGTGATAATACCATCTTTTAAACTAATTCTTTGTTATTTTCCATGTAAGTGCTCACTAAGCTCTCTTTTCTTGTAGAATATTTCAGTCAAATGATTGCCCTCATAATTACCAAACCTTAAGCTTATTGATATTGGAAAGAAAGTCACAAGGCCAAGGCGAAAGACTAATTTTATTTTAAAAAAAAAGGATGCGTCTATATTTTATGAAGATTTAAACATGCAACAAAGAAAGGAAAGACAGAAGCTATATAAGAGGAGACAAAAAAATGGATGTAAAATATTATGCCAAAAGGTGCCATAAAAATATTACAAAGTGGGTCTTTGAGAAGCCTCTCATTGTTTGTTCCAACATCAATCATTATAGGAAGTACCTGCATCACCAAAAGCAATGAAAACTGGTAGCAGAAAACAAAGCATACCTACCACTGAGACGTGAGAAATGGCAGCCAAAAAGAAAAATCTATCTCCAAAACATGCTTGCTTTGCCACTCTAAAAACCAAGTGAAGCAAGTGGAAAGAAAATTAAACAAAATTTGAATGCAAAAATGTTGATTTCCTTTCAACAGCTCAAAAGAAGAAAACAAACAAATTTTATGATCAACTTGTGAAAATCCAAAGGGCAGTACCAGGCAAGTTTAGCGAGATAATAATAAAAAAACAACTTTTTCACTGTGTAAGTCGACTAACAATCATATAAATCTAAAGGAATGAGACTCACCTTGTTGTTCAAACATTGTTTACAAAAATCTAAAATCATCTATCAAAGGATGTCAAAGAGAAAATTAAATTTCATTGGCATGCCCTGATAACTTGCAATGAATATAACTAACAGCAGAAAACATTTTGTGTACAGATGAAGGAAGAACAATGCATTTCTCTGGGTCAGAGGTGTAACAACCCTTGTTACACCCACTAGACCGAATTTAGTAATTTACACTTCGAATTACTCATTAATTCTTACACAACAGCAGCACTAACAGTGTAACATCAATACTTTGCATAGATGTGGTATTTAATTCGTACCCTGCCTTTTATCAGAGCAAAAAAATGCCTCAGGAAGTAACACTTAAAACAGCTTCATATGCCACACAGATTACTGTTCAAAAAGCTTGTCATATAAGTCACAAAAACTGAGAACTTAACTCTTTGTGGATGAATTCCAGCAGCAGCAACATATAAATCCACTTTCCCAATGGGAATACCAATACCCTGAACCCCAAGGTCACCAAGGCCCAGTATCCTACTGCCATCAGTTATCACAATCATATCAACCTACAAAATTACACCCACAAAAACAACTATTAATTAAAAAATTAATATATATATATATAAGCAACTATTTATTAAATATAAAATAAGTATTTCTTTGCATATCAAAGTATGCTTATAAATCCAAAATGTTCATAGAATCCGTAAAGCAAGAAAAAATAGTAGAAATCGGTCAAAAGAAGCATGCATGGTTGCTGCAAGTCTGCGTACTTGATGAAAATTTTTATATGTTCTCTCAATAAAACATATTTTAGCCTATGGAAATATTTTTAAAATGTAAATACTTTATGTTTAGTTCAATGTGAGCTACAAAATAACTAAAGTTTACCCCAGTATCATCAAGCATCAATGAATACGCCAATCTACGGGAACAACAAAATAGCCTAGCAGGTGTTCTTATATTTTTTATCATTGTATGCAAGCTTCATAAAAGGTGTATCATATACAAAAAATAAAAAGCAACAGAAAGAACTTGTATATGATACAAGGAACAAGTAAAATATGCAATCTAAAATAGACTTCCCTCCCTCACTCCAAACACCCCACAGAACTGTCGGTGCTTAAAAGGGGAAAAGTTAATGTTTGGGGGTCACCCGTAAGAAGCTGTCGGTCGCCGGAATCGAAATCCCGTCACCCGCTTCGAAAGGACTTTTTAATTTACGTATATATATATAATTTTAGAAAAATATGAAATCAAACTGACCTCATATTTTTCACAGTTTAAATGAAAGAGCGCTCTACCTCAAATTTTGTATCTATCCCGAGGGATAAACACAAGACTTGAGAATGAGGCTCAATCAAATAAACTAGGAAAACATATGACGTCCGTTTGGGTCTGCGAAACCGTTTTATTTGCCGACAAGTTCCCCTATCTAATATAAATAATTAAATAG